TTGGTCTACATTATATTCAGAGGTGTTCCTAATATTATGACTCTTATGTATGTAGCTGGGGAGGACAAAAATATAAAGACACCTCTAAATATGATGTAGTCTGCTCCAGCACCACCTTTAACTAATAAATGCACTGATAGGGATGTGTGCTCTCCCCTCTGATGTTTTCACTCTACCAACAACTGCATCTCGAAGGACCCCTCTGTCAGGCTCCTAAAGTTTGCTGATGACACAATGGTCATTGGTCTCATCCGAGACGAGGACGAGTCAGCCTATAGCCGGGTGGTTGCACAGCTGGGCCTGTATGACAGTGGACTTCAGGAAGAGCCCTCCCACCTTATCCCCCTCACCATAATTGGCAGCACTGTATCAGCAGTAAAGTCCTACAAGTTCCTGGGCTCCTCTGTCTCCCAGGACCTGAAGTGGGCATCCAACATCAGGACCATCATCAAGAAGGCACAGCAGAGGATGTACTTCCTGCACCAGCTCAGAAAGTTCGACCTGCCCCAGGAGCTGCTGATACAGTTCTACAGAGGAATCATCAAGTCTGTTCTCTGCACCTCCATCACTGTCTGGTTTGGCTCAGCAACCACACAGGACAAGTACAGACTTCAGCGGACAGTCAGGACTGCAGAAAAGGTCATTGGTGTGAGCCTGCCCTCCATGGAAGACCTGTACACCTCACAGGTCAAAAGGAGGGCAGAGAGGATCCCTGCAGACCCCTCACATCCCGTATACAACCTGTTTGAACTCCTCCCCTCTGGACGGCGTTACAGGTCGCTGTCCACCAAGACAACCAGGTACAGGGACAGTTTCTTCCCCCAGGCTGTCGCTCTGATGAACACTTGACCAATGACAGTATGACTGGACAATAACCCTCAGTGCAATACCTGTAAATATACCTTGTACAGATTATACAGACTCCTACATGTCTCTAGTACTCTGTTTTAAGTACTCTATTTTTATCCCTAATTATCTCATTTCAATGAACATTCCCTTGTTGTCTGCATTGTTTACTGTCTGTTTATACTGCTTTTTCTGCATTGTTTGCACTGTTTGTTGATTTTAATAGTGCTATTTTGTTATATTCCACAGCCTTATGCTGGTCTACTGTTTGCACATTGAGAGCCGATGTACCTGAGTCAAATTCCTCGTGTGTCCAACACACCTGGCCAATAAAGCTGATTCTGATTCTGATTCTGATAGAAGCTGATCATTATCCACACCATTGTGTCAGGTATGTATAAATGCCTTGACAAAGCTTGGTACCATCTCCAGCCACAGCATCATCAGTCAGTGAGCCAGTGCTGCTCTGGCACATCACTGGCAAGAGACAGAGAAAGTCTGGAGTTAAAGGGTTAGTTCACCGCATTCAGGTCATACACAGTCACATGTTTGTATACTGAGGTTTTGAGATACCTGTTCGAGGTTTGGAATTTAGTTTGTGCTACTCACAACATAAAAAATCTGAAACAGCATGTATTTGTAGAAAAAAAATAAAACAATCCACTTATTTGGAACTCCTCTGTACAAAAGTAATACTCCCCTAGGATAACTAATAACATCTCACCATTGACTCTAAATTGTGAGAGTGTGTGTGTGTGGCTGGCAACCTGTCCGGGGTGGACCCCGCCTCTCGCCCAGTGTCAGCTGAGACTGGCTCTGAACCCCCCCGTGACCCTATTCAGGATACACAGTATTGATAATGGATAGATGTTTTATGATCATAATTTTCATAATATGGCACAATTACACTTTTCAATTTTTTTCAATAAACAAAAAAGTAGGATCCTGGGTTTTTGGAGCATGACTTTTACTAAGAACTAAAAATCAGATCTCTTGGCCTCCGCTGCATGGAGTTTGATTGTCTCTTGTAAGTCTCTCAGCTTTATGGAATTTAATACCACATTACTGGAATATACCTTTAAGATCATCAAAATGAATATGTCTCATTTAGAGAATAATGTTAAGTGTCCCCTTAAGAGTTGGTGATATCAATACATTTACCACCTCTATATTTATGTCTAAATACTAATCTATTATTAACAGGTAAGGACTTCAGTGGCATTGCAACCTTGTGGAGTTTCTGGCTCAGTTACCTGAGATGTATCTTTGGGGAACTGTAAAATAGCTTTTAGCACAACCTTATTTAATAAAACACATGACTTATGTGAAAACCATTATTATCATTATTATTCTAACTTTATTATTTCAAATGTGAAAATGATTTTGAGTCATGATCTCATAAGGGTTAGTCCCTTGGTGTGGGTGTATTTGAAAATGTTGGCCCCTCCTAGTGGTAGCAACAAAAATATGCTATGACAGAAAGCAAAGGATGCTGCTACTGTGCATGAATGTATTTAGAAAGCCCCATTAGATGCTGATATTTTATCTGTGCAAGTGAAAATGTTGTCCTGATGTCAAGGCTAAAAGAAGGGTCAGGGGGTCACCAAAACATTTAGGGTTCATATTATAAGAACCATGAACCTGACAACATTAAGTCCCCCACCAAAATATACATTATTGTTTATAATCTTACACATTCGCACAGCTTGCTCATCAACTGAAAAACTAATCCAGTCATTGTCATGATAGTTATACTGTATACAGTACATGCTCTGCATAGGGGTACACTGTTGTGCTCCTCCAAGGAAACAGATCCTTAACCCACATCCATTTCCCTAGACCACATACTGTACATCTCCTCTGCTGCCTGTCATTCACATGGTAGATGCCCTTGATTTGTACTCCTTGCTCTCCCTGCAGACCTTTAAATAACCACACACACCAAGCAGATCATCTGTAGGTGCAGGCAGCTCAGCTCCAATACATCACTGTGTCAAATGGAAATACTGGAAATGGAAATGAAGCGATAGCAGATACTGAATATTGCCAGTTGCTGTTAAGGCTCCGGTTCTGGCGCTGATATAAAAACCCTGCGGCAGCTCGTGGTGAGATTGCACTTGCCCTCTGCATCCACTGTGCAGTAAGACATTTTCAGCAGTGATATTACATGAGAAGATACAAGCAATACCTGCACATATTGCCATATTTTTCTGTGTCTGATGGTTCTATTAAAGATAAGTGTAAACGTGCAGCTTGTACAGGATCCTTGTTGAGTTTTTTACTATGGCTCTGGCAGTGACTGTGTAACCTTTCCGTAGATTTTAAAAAGGGGCTGTGCAGCTCTTTTGATCACAACCCTGTTCTCCACTCCTCCCACTCATTCACTCACTCTCTTGCTCTGTCTCTGTCCTGGTATGGAGACATGGGGCTGCTGGTGACCTTGAGTTATTTTTAGCAAAATGGGAGCACTGCAAATGGGGGGCAAAGCTAAGAGATACTCTGTGGAGTCTGCAGTTAACCACAACCTACTCTGTGTAATGGCTGCACTCACCCAAGGAGAGCTTCTCATAGGTGAAGGCCTAAAGACTTTAGTTTATGGGGACACGTAGAGACCCCTGGCTCCAGTGTGCTGAGGTGAGCAGGTACTGAACAAGGAAGTCGGTCTGTAAAAGCTTCTTCTTGTGGTCCCTTAAAATTCATCTGTTTGTTCGAGCCCACTTCCTGACAAAAAAAAAAAGTTTGACCCATAAGGTTACAACTTTCTGGATGAAGATCTGACACTAACCTGAACCTTTGCTTTATATTTCAAATACATTCTTAAACTGTGATATATGTTTAGGTGCAATTTAACTTTTTCAAATAGGTCTGACAAACCTCAGTTGGTTTCCAGCCTGTGTGGTTGTCTTCTTCCTTGTCCCCCTTTTTTTTAGCGATGCTGTTGTGCTCCCAGTTCTCGGTAATTCTCTTACAGGGGTTATCGACCAACACAGAACCGGTTCAGGTCTTATTTGGGAACCACAGACCCAAAGACCCTGAAGACCTCTTGAGTATTTTTGTTTTCTGCTATTTTATACCTAGAACACTACATGGTAGAGGCAAATATTATATCATTTACTCTACTGTTTGTTTGATAAATTTAGTTACTAACTTTTCAGAATCAAATGAATAAAACAAAATATAGTATCATCATAAAACTTTATTGATCCCTGATGGGAAATTCACAAGATTCCCATCATCAATTCAAATTAAAATTAGCTTTACCAGCTGCAAAATTATATGTCATGTACACAATAATGCATCAATAATTATAATCCTTTAATATGGTTTACATTAATGTTACATGTGCCTTTCTGCATAATGAGTATTTTTGCTTTTATTACTTTAAGTATATTTTGATGGTAATACTTACAATCTTTTAAGTAACATTTTGAATGCAGGACTTTTACTTGTAAGAGGGTATTTTTACATGGTTGTACTGGTAATTTTACTTAAATAAAGGATCCGAGTACTTCTTCCTGATGTCTATATTGAAATTCCTTCAGACTACCAGGCAACATGTCTTCTCCATTTTGCCATTTTGCTTGGCAGCTGGCAAATCTTTGCGGGGCTGGAAAGGATTCATTTTACGTTCATTTTTATGATTTTTATGTTACTTATTTATCTACTTTATATTTCATTTGTATTTTGTGGCATTCATGTGGACGGCTAAGTAAGAATTTCATTGTACAGGGAAACACATTTCCTAACTGTGCATATGACAAAATAAACACTTTGACCATGACCTTTGATTTTGCCTTTTTTTTTTGTTTTGCTTTAGCTGGTTAGGTACATGTCCACTCATGACGCCAATATTTTAACAATATCATTTTGGATCTGTAAGTCATCTAGTTCTCACTGGAACCTGAATTCTAGGTTCTGAGCGAACCTATTTTTGGTCAAAATGTTCAGAACTGGACTGTTTCTCTGTGGATCAAAAAGCTCTTGTTATTGGCCAACATTACAAAAACAGTCCAAAGATAAAATAAACCCCAATTATCCTTTAATGTTCATCCATCTATGTACACACAAACCTGCTGTTAACATGGCAGCCCAGATACTTGGATGCTGAGGCAAAGCAGGTATGTACAGAGGAAAACAAAAGCTCACTTAACATGTTCATTTCAACACAGTTTATTTACATCTTCTCCATACACCTCATATTCCATATGAAGCCTTGGCATTTACTATCACATATCGCTTTCACTTCATCATTTTAACAGTCCTTTCCCTGTACTTGTCATCAGTGCTTTCTCTGACAACTCACAGTGTGCATACAGTCTTTACTGAGCAGGCCCACCTCTGTCTAATCAAACATCACTTTCTTCTGACCTGCTTCCCAGGTCTGGGCTTTAGTCAACAGGGCCCTGGAAGATGAGTTTGATGTGGCCCTGTTCCCCTGTCAACCATGTACCACAGAAGGGGCAGGCAGCATGGAAGGCGTGGGTGCCATGGGGCAATGGGATCTGGCTCCACCCCACCACTGTCTTTTCTGAGCATACATGGCCACAGGGGCAGAAGGCATGAGTGGGCGGCCCGGCGTCCAGGTACAATCCTCCCTCACAGCCCAACCATAGGGGCACATAGGGGCCCACTCGCCGGCACATGGGGCACTCCCTCTCCCCTGTGCCAGCTGGTGCTGTGCCCCCAGGGCCGGCGGGGCCCTTTTCCTTGCGGTAACCCCAGTTGTGGTATCCGTGCACATGGCCGCAATTTACGTAGACCCAAGGCTGTTTCTTGTCGACAATCTCGCGCTGGGCCAGGCTGGGGAAGGCCAGGGTGTTGAACCCTACGGGACACTGGGGCCGTGCAGCATTCAGCTCCTGGCGAAGGGACTCCAGCTGTTTGAGGGTGGGGGTGTTCCGCAGTCCGGCAGGGGTCCTCCACAGCAGGGTAGCCCCACATAGATCAATCAGAGAGCCGTCCTGTAGGGTATTTGACTCATTTTCAACCTTAACACAAAATAAAGAAAAGTAGCAGGGGAAAGAGAAGGAAGGAAGGTTAGTTTTCATCGCTGACATCAGTGTCATATTAAAATGACACCTACTGATCCAGATTCTTCTCTCCAGAAGCAAGAAGCAGCAATACAAATCCAGGTCCATTCAAAAAATATGTTTACATCAGTCTTTATTGCAGCTCTTTTTTATTAATACACCACCTTTTCCACCGCAACCAAATGTAATAAAGTTTTTTCTGTTTTGATCTTCTAGTGTTTACTCACTGAACATATGCATAAAAATGGATCTATGGATATGTTAGAAATGGAGCGCCAACATCTGTCCCACTGAAGCTACTTGAGGAGGTCAGAAGTCTGTTTCTCTGTGCTCACAATCATTTACACTGCACAGTGGTACCTTGCATTGTTGGGTGTGACTGTCTCCCATTGTGGGAGGTCAGTACTACAGTATTGCTGAAGAAAGCTCAGTGAGAACTTTTAATAAAGACAGCTAAAAAGTTTTTTGTATCATGGAAAGGTGTCATCATGCTTATACTGAGGGCATCCACATGTTCGTGGCACTGTAACCCCTCAGGTCAAGACAAGAAGTGCCACGTTTCTGGTTCTTGGGTCAAATCAGTGTCATTAGCCGAAGCCCTTGTGACTTTATCAAATCAAAGACAGGACTCATTTTCCCATTAACCCCACCTTATCTTACCAGTTTTCCCCTCTGCTGAGCTGAGCGGGTCTCCCTCAGGGCAAAGACGTTGCCACAAACTGAGATTTCCCTCCAGACGCCCGGAGCCGGCTCAGACACAAACTCCCCTGCTGGATGCATCACCAGGACCCCATTGGTCGTCAGGCCGTCCATCAAGCCATCTGATGTCCTCCATTTGGCAGCCCGTTCCTAAGAGACCCCCATACACAAACACATACACACAAACACACACAAAACAGACAGACGTAAAGGTTAAGGGAATGATGGGGAGGCAGGGATATAACGGAGGTGGATGTAAGAGGTGGCAGGTGAGAAAAACAATCCACGTTGTTTTGCTCTGCTGATATATTTAGCTCAGTACAAACTGATTACGGCTGTGACTAAAGCAAAGAGATGCACCCACGCATAAGAATAAACCATATCTCAGATCAAGAATGAGTATATTATGAACACAAATGAGCTTTCATGGAATGAAGCACTACATTTCTGTCATGTTTAGCTTCATTTTATTTAAAAGACTCAGGATACTGCAAAATGCAGCCTGGAGATTTAATTCTGCAAACACTTTGATTCTGATGCTGCCTGTAGAGTATTTGACTCATTCTAAGGGATAATAGTTTTATATACTTATTTTAGGGCTGTCAAAGTTAATGTGATAATAACATGTTAACACAAATTCCTTTTAATGCCACTGATTTTTCTGGCGCCTGATTAACGCACTCACATTCTGTAATTATGACCCTCAGCCTGCTTCGTAGTTTGGTAAATCAGGATGCAATGCAGCAGCAGAAATGAGCAGAAATAGATAAAGAAAAGGATGTTTTGAATGGCAAGTTCAGCTTCAAAGCCCTGCCAGATGGTTCTCTAGACAAGTCCAAAGTTATTTGCATTTACTCTCAATGTGAAATGAGTTTGCATTCAGACCAAACTGAAATTAGATCCTGTTTTAGTTAAGTTAACAGCTTGTGCCACCTCAAAGATATTCACTTATTTAAGCAGACATAGCTTTGCCTCATACTTACACACAAAATTAAAAGCACACCACACAATGTATTTCATGGATCAGTCTAAATACACCTGGAGATAAGTGGAGTTCCTGTATGTGTTCCTGTCATTCTGCAGCCCAATACCCCTTTCCCAGTGCAAAAATGTAATAAGGCGCTTCACCTAGCCTGAACTTTCAAGATCCTTGTGAAGCTTAGGTATGTGGCTCCTACTTGTGTCATAAACTGGGACATTTCGGTTATATTTCAGTTATGTAGGCGAGTGAAATAAGTAGACAACAGTGGGAAAAAGTGAAGCAGATTTCATGCTGATTTTCCTTGACACTGACCCTGTAACACTACTGGGCTGGCACAAGCCAGTCAGTGACCCAAAATGGTGTCCAGCATGTGAAACCACTACAGAGTTTGTTAGTGGTTTACTTTGATTTAGTGTCACTTCCTGATCATTGTTCTAATAGAGGTCCAGGAACTTACCCTGAAAGAGGTCAGAGAACAGTGGAAACAAATAGCCACATGTTAGATTTAGGGTTATAAACTGGCACTATGTTATACAGCTACATTCAGTAGCAGATGGTTCAGTCCACACGTCCACTTTAATGATCAGTCTCAGGACAGAACCTGGTTCATCTGCACTGTTTGTGTTGACATCAGCCTGATATCTGCAGACAGCTGCTAGCTGGCGTTAGCTCCTGACACGAGCAGGCTGAATAAAGTAGAATCCACACAGTGTTTTCTGGTCTCCCAGGACCTGAAGTGGTAGTCCAACATCAGCACCATCACCAAGAAGGCACAGCAGAGGATGTACTTCCTCTGCCAGCTAAAACCTAAAGCTGTCCTCCAACTCTGCAGTTCTCCTCAGTTTTTTTAGCATCTTTGAGCTCATTGTTTTGGCTTTTCCAGTCCATGCGATTACTGTTATTATTGTTTTTAGCAGTAGTAGGCCTTTCTTTAAACCATAAACATTTTTTAAGCAGAATATGTGTAAATAAATATATTCAATCAAATATGATTTAGTGTGACAAGCTAAATCTCATCCATCTTCTACTGTAAACCAAACTGGACTTTGTTAGCTTGTGGGTAGTAAAAGCTAGCAGAACAAGATTGTGGGTGGGTATTTGATAGGTGGGTTTTTTGATATAATTTAGCAAAAGCTTTGTTTACATTTTCAAAAGTTCATGCTGGTTTCTAGATGACTCATTATTTCCACATCCTCCACCTTCAGATCTAGAAAGTGTGGTGTGGTTGGAGGCCAGCAGTCCCCTAGAGTTCCACATCACTGTCAAAACTCAAGCTTGGTAAGTCACTGAATGACTACGTGACCAGTTTGCTCAAATCCCTTTTTGAATGACACATGGCCTGTGTATTCACTTTCACCGTGTGTCATGTTTACTGGTCAAATATGTAACCATACATGTATCTCTTCATTAGATATGGATGCATTATGAAAGCTGGATACCAGGTTACAAGATAGCACCCCTTCTCCCCACTAAAAGTTGTTGGTCTGGTGCATATCCCCCTTCAAAGAAAATCTCTTGCAGGCTTGCTTCTGCACTGTGGGGCTCACTGCACATGCACATTAGTGTTTCCCCCAGCACAATCCCATTCAACCCCCATGGACTTTATAATGGGTTGACACCATGAAAATAAAAGTTTGTATTCTGGGCTCTCTGAAAGTTTTAGAAGTATAAAACCTCCATGGATTAAAAATCATAATAGAAAGAGTGACAATTGGCCTGGTTTACAGTGTGAGGTATCCTGTCAACAGTTTTACAGATGTCTGTTTTTAATCACTGTACTGTGGAATATGGAGAAAATGCTTTTTGGGGTCCACATGGATTTTTCATTGCAGTACTGAGAGTGGTACACAGCTGAATACATCTGTCATAATATATACATGATGGTAGCATAAGACCAGCATTAGCACCAAAGCACTTCTCATGGCATGCATGACCTTCCATAAACACACACACATCCTTGTTTTCATCACCTGTGGGGACATTACATTGACTTTCATTCATTTCCTGGAGACTTACCCTAACCTTAAATATAACAACTACGTACTTGTTGAACACTAACCCTAACCATTACCCTAACCCTACTTGTCACTTGTACTTGTAAAATGCAGTGATTTAGATGGTGGAGACCAATATCTTTTCTCCACATTGTGAGTGTGTAAACAGGTTTTGGTTCCTACAGTGTGAATATTACCAGGTTCACACACACACAAACACACACACACAGGTCTTTCCATTGCCATGCTTCCTTAAGCCAGGTCACATGCACCAACACCCATCCTCACAGCTATGATGCCATGGGCCTGCTATTGCTCACACTGTGGTTGCCATGGTTACCATGGTCCTTGAGTAGTTTACCAGGAGAAACCTTGGCACCCAAGGGGGGGGGAACACTCACCCCCAGAAAGATGTTCTTGGAGGAGTCGAAACCAGCAGCATAAATGCGGGCTGTGTACGGAGCGCTGCGTTCACACATGATGCGGCAGGCATAGCGAGAGATGGTGCTCTGAGCTGACTGTCCTCCACCCCCTCCCCTGCAGCACCCCCGCCAGGACCACTGCCACTGCCTGCAGTGTCTGTCACGACAAAGTCAATCATGCTCTCTGTGGACCGGCCAATCTGTAAGAACCAACAATGATATTAAAAGCAGCAATAAAAAGATGAACAGCTGTCAGGCCTGTCTGAAAAATCCTTTAGATCAAAATAAGACTGCAATGAAATCAACTGGTCATTAATAGTGCCATATGTTCCATCATTTTGTGGTTAAAGAGTTGGTTCATCCAAATTACGAAAGCACATATCTTTGCTCTAGGGGAATGTATCCAAGTGGTTTTGGTTTTATTTGATGGTTTTGGTCTGGAAGTAAGAAGTATCCACCACATCTTTCTGTTCTTTGCAATTCACTCACGACTATGTTAACAACTGTGTTTAGCTCCCAGCCTGCTGGCTGGTTGAGATTTCTGGACCATTCTTCTTCACATAACTGCTTCAGCTCAGCCATGTTCTTAGGATGTCTGGTGTGAATGTCGTGAGGTCATTCCACAACATCTCTACTGGGTTGAGGTCTGGCCTCTGACTGGGCCACTCCAAAAGGTGGATTCTGTCTCCGAAGCCGTTTTATAGTAGATTTACTTTGTCCTGCTGCATCACCCATCTTGTTCTGAACTTCAGCATGCTGACAGCCACCCTAACATTATCCTGTAGGATACCTTGATGACCTTGGGAATTTCCCTCCACATGTTTTCATGTTGGTACACAGTTCTCTTTTCCCACCATATTTAGCATTGTGTGTTCTTCCCAGACAATTCTACCTTCATTTCATCTGTCCACAGGACATTTTTCCAGTAGTGTTGTAGACTGGTCCAGGTGGTCTTTGGCAAAATTCAGGCTGCTGCTGTTTTGTTTTTGGAGAGCGGTGGCTTCCTCTGTGGTGTCCTGCCATGGACACCATGCCAGTTCCATATTTTGTGTATGGTTGATTCAAGTTAACCAACTCCAATGAATCTTTCAAGTCTTTAGCTCTTACTCTCGGGTTCTGTTTTATCTCACTGAGCATTCTGCATGACCTTGGCTGGGCACCCACTTCTGTGGAGAGTAGCCACAGCACCAGATCGTCTCCATTTATAGACACTATGTCAAACTGTGGCCTGATGAGTATCTAAAGTCTTCAAGATGACTCTGTAACCCTTTCCAGCTACATGCAAATCAACAACTCTTGATCGTAGGTTGTCTGAGATCAGTTTTTTGTGAGGCCTGGCTCACACCAGCTGATGCTGCTTGTGAATAACACACTGACACTGTCTGAGTGTTTTTATACGTCAAGGTAGTTCCAAACCACAACTCCATTCTTGTTTCATTGACTGGACTCCAGGTTTGCTAATGCCTGACTCCAGCTGATGTTTAGCGACATCAGAGGCCTGGTGTTGTTATTACTTTTTCCGCCATCACTCTGTATGTTTAATTTGTGTGTTCAGTAAAGACCTGAAAGGTCATGACTGTGTTTTATCAGCTTGGAAATACTGTTTGTTGATATTTGTGACTTTGGTGAAGATCAGATCACATTTCATGACCAATTTATGCAGAAAACCAGGAAATTGCAAATAGTGCCTTTACTTTTTCTTGTGATAAAAATGTGATAATTGGCCACGGTTAATTTTGCTACCATACCCTTCACCCACTATTTATGCATTCAAATTGTTCACTGAAATTTTTATTACCACTCCTGCAACATAATTTAATTTGCTGTTGTCCTGTATGTTAAATATGTTCCCAAAAATTGTTGTTCTTTGTCACTCAAAATAAAAATAAAAGCCAGGTTTGAAAGTATGGTTCTCATTCCTGTTTATGGTACTTTTTAATGACACTTTTCCATGATTTTTCCAGTGTACTCTTTCTACAATAGGTCACATAGTTAAAATGTTTAGTTGGCATGGCATACAGGCATGTGAATGTGTGGGTTTGTGTGCAGACACTGACCTGAAACATGTCTGTGTTAGTGTCATGGGTGTACTCCACAATGACAGAGTGGCTCCGTGACAGTGTGTAGGAGATGCTGTGCTGGCTTTTGTTGCTGAGTGCCTGCCAATGGGAAAGACATTACCCAGGTCAAATGGCCAGGAGAGCTGAAGGTCTCGCCTCCAGAAAAAACTACCCAGAGGACATTTCCTGTTCTAGACCAACAACTCCAGTTACAGTATCATTTTAAAATGGAGAAAGATAATTTAATAGTATAAGAACATACTGTGTGATAGTGTTTTATAATATCTACATCTACGTGATAGTACAGAACATATACATACAATACCTTACAATGTAAACATATAAAATGTACATAAATTGCAATTTAGGAAAACCACGATGTGAATAACAGTAGTGGTGACTCCACAGGGTGCACTGTCATGCAAATACTGTGTCTGTTTACTGAAAAAGATGCAACAAGTACACCAATTTGATTATTGCACAAGTCATACATTTCACCTTATGATGTTGCTAGATGGGTTTCCAATGTTATTATCATTTATTTTAAGGGAAACATAAAAGGGTGAATCATATGTCATGCTAATCCTTCCAAATCTTGTTGAGACACTTGATTCACAGCCATTATCATAAGCCTCATGTTGGTGCTAGAATAAAAATGTTACATTCTCATTACTGGCTGAAGGTTCCCCAGATTTTCTTCCCTCCAAGTGACTCAAATCTGATCTTTTTACAGGTGGTGTGAACAACCCAAATCAGATAAAAAAAAAAAAAATCATATCTAAGCTACTTCCACATATGGTCCTAGATCTGATTCTTCTCCAGTCTCTGACTGTGCAAGCCGTCAGTTTTTGAGGAAACTGTGCGATTTGGCCCTCGTACGCATGTGGCTCACATTCTAGTTAAATTGCTCATTGTGTGACAGTTTGGGAGCTCAGTGGTGTTAACACCAAAACTGGATACATGTCACTTACAAACATAAATGTGAACTATCAACAGAAAAACTATGGATCTGATGAAGAAATCAGAACTGACCATTAAGGCCTTTCATGACAATCCATCCAGTAGTTGTCTATTTTAGTGTGCACCAAAATGCTGATCCCACCAACTCTGCCCTCGCTTCTAGCCTAACCATATTTAAGATACACTGCCTGACACTATTGTAGTGCCCAACAGTGCAAAAAAAAATCACCCATTTTCCTCTGTAGTACCTGTTGAGTTTCAAAACAGCAACTGACAGCTGCAAGGAAGATTTGGGGATTTTCATGGTACCACTGAGCGCAGTGGAAAAAGACATTTTTTTAACCATTAATGTAACTTACAGTCAGTTTGTTCATTAAGGCTTGTTCCCACTTGTTAATAAATTATTTGCTGCTGTCACATTTGCTAACAATGACAATGATAGTTATACAGGCGGACTCCAGTAGGGAAAAATATTTACTGCATTCTTTGAAACTACATCTACTGCTGTTGAATTTACCACCTTCACTGTGATGTAATCTTTTTTTCACAAATTTCCTTAAGAGAGCAATGTTATGGCTTCTCACCTTAGAGACCAGAGGTGTCGAGACATTGTGAATAACATCAGGTTTAACTCCATTGGCTTTGGGTCTCTTATAAAGGGCCAAGCGACTTCTTCTGCGACCCTTGTCCCCGTTGGCCAGTGACCCATTGTGTCTGTGAAGCACAACAAAATGTATTTAATAATAATATTAATTAATTTCAACGGGTTTCACAACACCAACCACTGTTAGAAATTACTCATAGAAAGTAGCCAACCATTTTGTTTAATGTACATAAAATATAGATTATAAAAATCACTGAGTTCTCTCATGTTCTCTCATTACTCACATGGTATTTCCATTCCTCAACTTCATCTGAGCATCCAAATTTATTAATGCAAATAAAATACCCTAGAATTGGTCTTGTACTCAGAGATGTAATGAGTTTATTGTCCAGTAGACATGGACCTAACTACAACAGTTTCTTGCCTAAACACATTTCCTATGCCAAGGCAGAACATGCCTCAGCATACAGATTTTTGCAGCTGATTGCAGATTCCATATGACTTACATAAATTATGAAGCGTATGGGTCCTAAGATTGATCATTGTGGAATAGGGTGCATGACCGCCTCTGGATCTGATAAGGTGCCATTAATATCTACATGGTCAATATGACCACATAGGTAAAATGTAAATCTACTAGTTTATCACACCCTTTGCCAATTTGTTGTATAAAATTGGATGACCTACATGATGTGCTTGTATATAACCCAGTGTCCATGTTGAAAATGACTCAATTAGTCAGATGAATAAGAACTGACTGTGTAGAATATAGGCCTAGTTTCCTGAATCTGTGTGTAGTGAACCCAGTGAACAAAGCCCAGCAGCGGCTATACTTCATCAGGTGGCTCACAAAAACTGGGCTGAACCGTTGCCCTCTCACCCAGGCTTCTAGAGGACTGGTAAAGAGTATCCTCACTACTGGCATCACAGTCTGGTATGGTAACACCACACAGGCAGAGAGGAAGGCTCTTCAAAGGGTCATAAAGACTGCAGAGAGGATAATTGGGACTGAACTGCCTGCTACGGGCACACTATACACACAGCGCTGTCATAAAAGGGCAGAGAACATACTCAGGGATCCACGCCACCCAGCTCATTCTCTGCTCAGACACAAAAACTGCACCTACAACCTCAGGCACAGCAGTGCAGACAGTATCATCACACACAGAAGAAGAATTTAAAACTCTACCAAGCAATGGAAACAGGCCTGAATATAAACTGTGTGTTAGTATGTTATAACCCCTCACTACCTCACCAAACGTAATGACATATCCAACTCCACCATGTGAATTATTAAGTGCGATGTTTGAAGTTCACTGGGAAAATACTATTACCCTATTTTTGTATATTGCAGTTTTTAATGTTTTGTTGCCTTTATGTAACTTTTTTATTTTTTAAGACTAAGTGTTCTTTCTGGCTTTTTGACTCCTTACCTGACTCCAAAGGAGAGTTGCACAACAATTCCTATATGCCTAGACTGTCTGTTTATGCAAAAATGGGAAATAAAATCTTGACTTGACTTGAATCCAGGTTGGAACATCTGCATAATACAGTGTTTACTCAAATAGGAGCAAACTGCTCTTATACTACAGGTAGACCATAGGTAGACCAAATAAAAAATTCTATGGATTCATTTCGCACTGAGTGCATTTTCCAGTTTTATCAGCCATGATTATTCTGTATTATGGTGCATTTATAATGAACAAGACTTGCTCTAAACATATTCTGCTGACACAGTAAAGCATGATTAAATGTATGTTGTAAAATATCAGTGGCAGGGAATCCCCACTGTCTCTGTAATCACACTGACAGAGAACCAAGGCAGTCTCCTCATCCATCAGATCAATAGGTTGAGTACTAGAGACATACACTCACAGGCCACTTTATTAGGCACACCTGTACAAGTGTATGCAATTCAATATATCACTTCTGCCTTAACATCTGTGGTCATGAAGCTCAAAATATTTCAGTTATTGATGAAATTTTCACAAATATATTATATTCAGGGGCATCTCTATACTTTTGTCCTCCCCAGCTACACACATGAGAAGGTCAGAATATTAGGGACACCTCTGTGTAGTTAGGCCTTAAGTTGATTAATTAATTCTAGCTTCTTTGGGCACAGCCACCTACCCTGTGTCCCTAGCTTTACACATTACACATGAATGCATTTCATATTATTGTATTATAATTATAGATATTGATGCATTACTATGGACATCACATCTAATGATGCAACTGGCAAACATGTAGCTATCTCTAACTACCTTATATGATTAATTTGAATGACTTTACATACTGCTGGGTAGCTTGTGAATTATCCACCAGGAGTCAACAAAGCCTTATGATTATAGTATATGTTGTATTAATAATATGATTATGAAAAGTAACTAGTAACTAAAGTTATCAAATAAATGTAGTGGGGTAAAAAGTTCAATATTTGCCTCTGAAATGTAGTCAAGTCAAAGTATGAAATAGCAGAAAATGAAAATACTCAAGTACAGATACCTGAAAATTGTACATAAGTACAGTACTTGAATAAATTTACTTAGTCACTTTCCGCCACTGCTGGATCCCATATGACATTCCTAGTCACTAGCATTTCTAAACTACTTAAGTTTTTCTTTTAATGAAAGAAATATCCCAGTTAGGATGCTAACCCCCCAAATTGCCCGTGATGGCGGCGCACATGCACGCAGTGGCCCGGGGCCCCTCGGCTCCAAACAAAATTTCATAGTATGTGTCACAATGTTACAATGACAATAAAATAAAGCTTCTTCTTCTAATGTTGGGATGTGATTAAATGAGTTTAAAGATGCATTAAGGATGCAAAGGTATACATCTAGCTTGCTTCTCAACACTGATTTAAAATTGTATCTCAATTGATTAATCTGTACAGAAAAAATCTAAAGTGATGATCTTTGAGTTACATGCTAGCTTCATATTAACAACTTGAAAAACTCTTTGGTAAAATATGCTTCTCCTCCCCTCTCCCCACCCCCAGCAACAGATGAAGAGATTGATGCAACTCTTACATCTGTAAAGTGAATATAATGCTACAGCCAGGAACATATTAGTATGGCTTAGCAAATAGCTAGCCTAGCTCTGTCAACAGGTAATAAAATATACCAGTCTGCGCCCCCTAAAGCTCACCAGTTAGCATGCTATAACATGTCATGTTCTGTTCACAGCTACAACAAAATGAAAGCTTTCACTTTACATTTATGTTTTCATGTTCATTTGTCTTTTTCTTAAGCACTGTAAGTGTGAGGTGCCTTTACATCCAGTCTTGGGTGATTTTTAAACCTGCACACTCCTACAATACTTCTTGCATGAATCTACAGCTGCAGTTGCTTCTGTCCCAAGTCTAAGCAGTACGCTGCAAAACCAGGCCACAGGTTTTGCTTTGTTCATTTGCATTTGCAGAAGGAACAGGAGCACAATTGGTGTAAACAAAAATTACTATGTAGGTAGTTGGCTCAGCCTTTAAGCAGTCAACAAATAGGATACCCAGTTCAATTTCGAAATACTACCATAAATACGTGGATGTATGGCTTGAAAGGAACTTGATTATCCATAACATAGATATGACACAACACCTTTACAGCAAGTTCACACCAGTGCAGCACATGAAAGTTTATTTAAAAGCTGCACACACACTGGAGGTTTCTGGACCCTCTCTACCTTTAATATTAGACTTAAGACTTTCCTTTTTGATAAAGCTTATAGTTAGGGCTGGATCAGGTGACCCTGAGCCTTCCCTTAGTTATGCTGCTATAGGCCTAGACTGGTGGGGGCCCATGATTCTCTGAGTTTCTCTCCTCTCCTCTCCTCTCCTCTCCTGGCTCTGGAGCTCTACATCTCTGATGAGCAGTCACCGGCCACATCAACCTGCCCAGTATTTGATTGTTTGTTGTGTCTTGTTGCTTTTCTTTTCTCTCTCCTCTATTCACTCACCCCAACCAGTTGAGGCAGAAGGCCGCCCACCAAGAGCCGGGGTCTGTCAGAGGTTTCTTCTGTTAAGGGGAGTTTTTCCTCACCACTGTCTCCAAGTGCTGCTTAAGGAGAATTTGTTGGGTTTTTCCTTTATAATAATAATAATAGTAAGGTCTAGACCTGACTTTGTAAAGTGTCCTGAGATGACTTTTGTTGTCAGCTGATGCCAGTCAACTGGTGAGGGAATTGAACTGAGGGCCTGAGTCGAGAGATGACTGTAACTATTATTCATCTTTGTCTTTTACAACTTAAAAAGTTGAGAGAGGTGAGACTAATATTAGAAAAACACAGTTAATAATGTGCTACTTGGACTACTGAAGTCCAGAAGTGTCCAGGCAATAACAGTGGTGCCACCCATACCACCATGCTGCAAAGCAGTCACTGGAACTATAGTTTTGTCCAATGCTTAAAAACAACAACAGCAACAACAACAACAAAGTGTTAATTAACCTTGTTAAAACTGCAGAAGTAGTAATTTTCAGTAGTAAGTGCTGTAGTGGTTGGTGGTTTGTCTTAGAATATGAAAAAATTGTGAGGAATGTATGTAGTTTTTTTTTAAAATGATCGATGAAAAAAATGCTAAATGAGAGGCTGCATAGAATCACTGAAGCTAGTGGAACAAAGGCTAACTGGACGTAATGACATGACTTTGGCTCTCTATATAACAGGCCCAGTATAATTTGGATTCTGCTTGAGTGGGTTTGAGTCAGGCCTCACAGAACCAAGTGGACCACTACAGAACGCACATGCACATCACAAGCTCATACCCAGGTGTCGGCAGACATTCAGTTTGAAGACAATATACAGCCGCAGAGACACTTCAGAACCTCACCCTAAAACGATGAGCTCGCCGTACTTGACGGGCTCCTTGTCCTCAGGGAAGAGTCCGTCATGTGGTTGTGAGCCTGAGCTCAGAGGAGGTGAGGGCTGGCTCTTGTTGCACGATGGGCGCAGCTCCAGAGATTGGGGGGGACACAATGCCTCTGAGCTACCCTCCAAAACCATGCCCACCGGCCACAGCTGGGGCTCACTGCTGGGGAGGAAAGGATGGGGTTTCAGAGAAACAGTGATACAAAAAATCTTGCACTATCAACAAAGACACAAATGTGACACAATAACATGCAACCCAAAGTTGGATGATAGCTAAAATAACAACAAGGGTCTGTTGTCATATAACAAGTGCCCCTAGTAAATAAAAGGGCACCCTGCAAACCTCTG